ACAACAACAGCAGCAACAACAAACAGCAACGGCAACAACAACAACAACAACAACAACAACAACAACAACAACAACAACAGCAGCAGCAACAACAACGACAACAACAGCAGCAACAACAAACAGCAACGGCAACAACGAGACTTACTAGTACTAGTACTAGTACTAGTACTAGTACTGGACATGGCTACTACTACGGCGACGACGACGAGTACAGCTACTTCTGCTAACACCAACACTAACACTACATCGGCACTTGCATTGGAAGACATTGGAAGATACTCACCATGTGCATCTAATCGCCGATGCACTCAAATTTGCCAGGCACACTTCAGCACTAGCCCTGAACCCTCCCGTACTATGCCAACTTCATTTCAAGCTTCATGATGTTTGTGGGGAAGGCCCAGACTGCCCAAACATGTGCCTAAGCCGTAGGGCCCTACAACAAGAATCAAACGCAACGCCATAGGCAAACACTTTTCCGAACTCAGAACGAACCATGTGCCGACCTCGGCATTAGGGTTGGAGCCTTTAAGATGCATGATTCTCTCAGCCTGGGAGTGAAAAGTCCCCCAAACACCAAAATCACATCGACAAGTCGCAGCATCATGTTCGTCTGCTGCAACTGGCCTCGCTGTGTCTGTGTCCTCAACCAGGCGCACGGCAAAGGCTTGTAAGTGTACCTAACAGTGTAACATGTAGTACCTAATTGTGCTAGCGTGGTTTGTTACTATGCGATCCGAACCACAACCCTAAACCCTAAACCCTAAACCCTAAACCCTAAACAGGTTACCCAACAACACAACTCTCTAGGGTGTAGGAACGACCCACGGCCGGGGGATCTCATGGCAGTGCCCAGGATATCGGCTAGGAATCATGATCATAATGCAAGAAGGAAAAGCTAATAAGAGTAACGTTGATGATAACAGAAAATTACAGTTGTATTAATCGTAATATTGACGATAGTAATACTGACATTGAGTGATTCCGGCCTCGTGCAAACGCTTCTAGAACTTGGAATGCGGTCATGTCAGCGAAAACTGTAGATATGCATGTATTTATGTATGTATGTCATGTGTGTACATATATATATATATATATATCATGTAGACTTATAAAAAATTTTGTATAGTTGCATGAACCCCTGACGCGAAATCGACGACCTTACGCCCTTACACTGCAGAAGACGCCCTTTTCATTTCTGAAATGCACCTCTTGGCTCTGATCCACATGGAGATCCCTCTGTGCCCAGATCTGGTGGTATACTGAGTGATTTTGCACGGTCGAAATGGATCTATACCGCTTGCTTCGGGTTTGCACTTTACGAAAGTGAGATGTGAAAATTCCAATGGCCCCCGAGCCTAACCTCCGATCACACAGCCCCCTAACAAAAGGCCATAGCTGTGTAGCTAGAGCCAGTACGGTAAATTGCGCAACCTAACAACCAGAAGCTTCAAGACATTGTAACACAACACTTCTTGTGCAGCAATTAATCGGGAGTCTTTCGGAGGTGGGCTTCATCCTTCCCATTTCCCGGATTCAATGGTTTATGTCTTGTAGGGTTTCAGGCTTACTTCCAACCCCTGAACCATGAAGGTACGCGGTCAGTGACCTGGGACGTCTGTCGCGACAGCACTGCTGGGGCCTGAGTCAGGCGCAGTTGCTTGTAGCAGCACGGACCAACTCATCCCAGTAGGCCTACTGTAGGCGCCTTAATAGTTAGAATAGGGTTTTGGGGCATATATATATATATATATTATTATATTATCTTATATTATAATATATAATATTATATTATATTATATTATAAC